AAATCTATATAAAATGCATTGAAAAGTAAAAAATCTTTGCCAAATAATACTCTAGAGAATGAAAATTTAATTAAAAAATAAACTAATGTTATTTTTGGTCAAAAGACTAATAAAAAGAATAAATAAAATTATACAGTATGTTCTTAATAATAAAGTAGGCAAAAGAAAGTTCCTTTAAAATAAAAAAATTAATAATAAAATATTGGGTAATAAAAATATTTTATGTAAAATAATTATTCTTCAGTTAATAAAATTTTAATGAATAATAATTTAAAATTACTTGAAGAATTAAATAATACATTATGAAAAAATATTAAACAAACACTTTATATATAAATATTTTATAATTTTATAAAAATTAAAATCTAATAATATAATATAAATTAATATATATTTTATTTTTTATAAAGAGAAATTAATTTTATATTATTTTATTTTTTTGATATGAATAATTAATAAAAAGTATATATGAAACATGTATAAAAAAAAAATATATATATATTCATTATTATTTAAAATCTACTCTTAATCTAATTAATTATTTAATATCTTCCATAGTAAAATCGCCACTACTAAGTGTAAAAAATTCTTACATTTCTTAATTATTTTCAAGTTTAAGTATTTCACAAATCAATTAAAGTCTATTAAAGCAAGGTTTTATGTTTGCAAGGGTAACATTTTATAAAAATATAGAAATACCTATTTTTTTTATAATATATATATATAAAATAAAATTTTATACTTCTTATTTCCTTATCTAATAAAAAAGCGCCCATAAGATGATATTTTTTATTCGAAACGATAATTATTTCAAGCGATTTAGCTATATTAGTTGATAAATGTATTATAAAATGTTCATAATTATCCTTAGTGAGTTAATTCTTCCATTAATTTAGATATAAACTGAACTTAATTTTGAATTCTTGCGAATAAAAATAGTTTTTTTCATATTCTTACTATTAATTTTCATTCATTGTAAAATTTATGTTTTTGAGTTCTTCAATTAATTATTTTGTGGTCAATTTTAAAAACTCAACTAAAATTTTAATTTTTCTTCTAATAAATTATTATATCTTTATTCATTATTAGTAATAAAATCTTCTATAGAGAAAAATACCATATCATTATAATTTTGATTATTATTTTCTTAAGATATATATAATTCTTTATAAGATTAAATTAGATTGTTTTTAAGTTTAACTAAATATTCCTTCAAAATCTCTATATTGTTAAAAAGAATTATTATAAGGGTATTATGTACAGTGTTTCTAGCCTAAAAACAGATTGCATTTTAGTTAAAATATTCTCTCTTGACGAATTTTTATATTAATTTATTTATTATATAGTATAAATCTTCATGTATAATTGTATTATTTATATAATTTAAAATAGCACATGCTGTACTTTTATTTAATGTTTCCAAGGCCCTAGATGCCCCATTTTTTAGAACGAAAAAAATCTCATCTAGAAATTCGTGTAGTTTAGAAATATTAACCAAAGGTTCTTCATACTCAACAAAAGGAAGGAAAAAAGACTTATCAAATTGCCAAAAACGGTTAAAAGAAGGAGATTCTTCTATAATAGAATTTATTTAATTACTTAAATGGACTTACTGATATTAAATAAATAAACCCATTACTTCAAGCATTTTTTTATTTGATTGAAGTTGTTCAATATTTTAACGAACTTAGGATATCTTTTCTTATTTATGTTCTGGTTTTAAAGGCTCTGTATTTATTAGTTCACTTATAGAATCAAATAAATGTTAGTTAAAGTTCTCATTTTGGTTTGATATATTGGTTATTTCATCACAATAATAATCTATTCTGTTCATATCCTTTATTTTTATATTTTTTTTTGTTAATATAAATATAAAAAAATTTTAAAAAGTTTTTATTTAAAATAAAATATATATATATATATATATATATATATATATATATATATATTTATATATATTTTCAAAAAATAAATAAAATATACTTATTTAGATAATTTAGTATTTCTTTAAATATTAATTTTTTCTATATCATAATATTAATTTAATTTTTTAATTAATGATTAGATAGTTGAATCAGCAATATCATTAACTAATTTACTAAGAATTGTAAAAATCCCTTCAATCTTATAAAAAGAATAAATATTAGACTTATAGATTGCAAAAGCATTAGCCAATTTTTCTAAAATAAGTACATAAAATTAAGAAAAAGGAAAGGAATAATCTTTAAATTCGATATTACTTTTATAATTTTAAGGAATTTAGATATTCATTTCATTTTCTAATTTTTTTAATTAATCTTTTAAATCTTAAGAATATACAGAAATAACTCTATCCAATGTATTCTCAGCAAAGCCTAAATATTCGAACATTTCTGTACATAACTATATTTTTTTGGAGTCATTTTAAATAAGGGCTTCTTCGAATTCATTTTTAGCAAAAAGATTTAATTATGAAAAAATTTCATTTTTTTTCTAAAAATCTTATTTATTAAAATCCTGAATTAAAAAATTTTCAAAAGATTTATAATTTTTTAAATGCTTATTTATTTATTAAATATTTTTTTATTATATACATTATTCCAAAAGAGGTAAAATCCTATTTAGTTCTTGGAAAGAAGACATTGTATTGATTATTTTTTCTATATTTATTTTACGATATTTTAATATGTCGAAATTCACAAGAGCACTTTGAGAGATTTAGGAAATTTCCAAAACTTGATTTTCAATTATTTTAGAGTGCTATTGTAATTCTTAGAAGGCTATTTGTGATTCTTTTAATCCTAAAGTCATTTCTTGCGTGTTTTTTTCATTTTCGGATTAAGAGGGAAGGTCTTTTAAATTTTTTTCGATTTGTTTTTTTTTCTTAGTGGTTATTTATAATTCTTCTTCAATATGCTTTTATAATTCTTCTAACATTTTTTTTTTTTTGGATATTTTTTATTTAAAAAAAATAAATTTTTTATTAATAATTAATTTATATTGTAATATATATATATATAATTTTATTTTTATTTTTCATTAATCTTTATCAGTGTATGCTATTCCGAATTTAACTTTCAAAGAAGAAATCTAAGTATTAGTTAAAGGAGCATCAAACAAAGAAATATCGTAATCTTATATATTGATTTATTGACCAACAAATAAAGGAAAGGCATACCAGAAAGATAACTTTTTTTATTATTAAAAAGTTAATAGGAAATAAAATTTTGATAATTTTTCTTCTTCAAACCCATATTATTATTTTAAGTTTTCCAAATTTACATTTATTTAGATTTCTTCGAAAATATCTATTTGATTTTTTCTTAAATTTCTACTATATTCAATTCCTTGGTATTAAATTTTAACAAAATTATCATCTAAGTGAACTTATTTTCCATACAAAAGTACTAATTTATATGAAATAGGAAGAAAAAAGTCATAATTAAATATAGAATCGATAAAAACAGACACATATTTTTAACTTTCTTGTTTAAAAGCACTTATACTATTCAAAATTTAGCTTTCACTTTCTTAATTTTATATATTTTTTTCATCATTTTCAATATTTTTTTATATTTTTTAATATTTTATTTCAAAGCATAATTTAAAAAGTGATAAAGATGCTTTTTTAAAGTTATAAGGAAATTTCTATACTGGTAATTAAAATAAATTTTGATGAAAAGTGCCTATTTTTACGTTTTATTCTTCATTAAAAATCTTATGTACTACCCATCCTATTATAGTATCTTTTTCACTGAAAAAAAGTATCTTAACAAATTAATTTTATTCATTTTTTTTTACTAAAAATACATTAAAGTTTACTATCTAATTAAAATTAGCTTATTTTTTATTTAAAATAGTCCTTTCTTCTTATTTAAAAGTACAATTAAGTCCATTTTGGTCTAAAATAGGTTAATTTTCTACCTCAAGAAAAATTTAAAATGTTAAATTTTCTATTTTAGATAGTATATTATCTATTTTTAATATATTTATGATATAATATTAATCTTCTTCTATGTTTTTGGAATCGTCTTTTTCATATTTAAATTCGAAAATAAGATCACTACATGCATATACACGTGTTCCTGTATTTTATAAAATTTGAATTTTTTCGATAAATTTTCCTTCTTTGAATATTTGAAAATCTTAAAACAATTCTGACTCAATTTCACCTAAAATTTGATTAGTTTTTTAATTTGTAAAAATAATATTAATTTTAGGATTTTCATAGTTTTATTTGATATATTTTTGAGAAATTTATGTGTATATATTTTTATTAAAAATATGTTTTTTGTCATCTATTTTAAATAAATTTTCATAGAAAACTTACTTTTCCTCGTTTTTATCTTTTATTATTATTTTTGTAGAAATTTCGTTTTAATTTTGTAATATATTGTCTCTATCTATGATTTCTAAAATAGAAATATTTAAAAAAAGATCCTCGATTTCTTATTAAAAATCGTATATTTTTGTCGTAGTTTCTTCATTATTCTTTTGAGAATAAATTTCTTCATCTTTATTTGCATTAAATATTTCATCTTTTTTTTCTTCATTTTTTTCATTTAAACTCTTTTTTATTTTTATAAATAAATATTTATTTTAAATACATAAGTTATTTTTATATCAGAGTTTTCTAGATTAGAATAATCGATAGGAGGATAATATGGAGGTGGAGAATATAAAAAAAAATTAAATAGTGAATAATTTATATCGAATTTGTTTTCTTTTTGAATTATTAAAGGTTAATAATGCCATCCTATAATTTAATCTTCATTTTCGGAAGGGTTAGGAGGTTTCGTTATTTAAAAATAAAGAATAAATTTATTATAATTATATTTATTTAATAATAAAAGAATATTTTTTATATCAATTAAAAATATTTATTCAAACAAGTTTTTTTTTCTTCTGAAATAAATATTTTTTGTTAAATTTCACATTTTTTATTAAATACATCTTCTATAATATTAGCTCCTATATAAATACCTCCTATAATATTAAATTCTGTGCTTTTTTCACTAATTTCATAAATTTTTAATATTATCCTATTTTTTTATTATTTTTTGTTTAATCTTTTTATATTACTTAGTAATTCTATCTTATCTTTTTAAGTCTCTAATTTTCTCATCAATAGTCATATCCCAGAAATTTTTTCCAGTTCCCTTATAAATACTTTTCTTTTAATTATTTTTATCCAAAACAGCATTATTATTATCCAAAAGCTAATCCACATAAAACTTATTTAACTCTTTTGTAACCCTTTGAATCATAGTATCTATATCAACTTTATTATAATCATAATTATAACCTAAAATACCTTCTTCAGCTTTTTTTTAATCATTATCTGTATTTCCTTCATGTTTCGAATGTTATTCTTTTTATATTTTTCTCATATTTACTAATTCCTAAAGCTTTTATTATTCTTTTAAATGAAGTTAAGGAACTATATAATGTTCAGCATATGGATCTATGCAATAATAAGGTGGGAAATGCTCAGGTAAAAACATTTTAAAATAAAGAAAGCCATTAGTTAAATAAGGTAAACCAATCTTATTTAAAATCTAGGGTTCATAAGATTTATCATATAAAGGTATTTTAAAAGCTCCTCCTAAAAAAACACCCATTTAATCGAAAATTTCATGTAAAGACCATCCGAATAATACATATTATTAAGGGAAAACCTGTATTTATTTTTATTAATTTTTTATCTAAAATATATAAAGTTACTTCTCTTTGTGCCACATATAATTCTAAATAAAATAGTTAATCGTTTTCTGCTTTTATTCCTTTAATTAATTCTTAACATCCAAAAAAGCAAGTATTATTAGGACTTATATTTAAAAAAAATATATAAAAAGAATAAAATTTTCATAAAAATATACATTTTACTTAGAAATTGGATTTTCTTCAGTAAAAAACTCTCTTGTACTCCTATAAGTGATATATTTTTATTAACTTTTTTTGCAAAATCCATATTTTATATAAATTTTTTCATATAAAAATGGTATCCAATTAACAAACTCGAATGTCAAATAAAACCCATTCTAAGGCAAATAAGAATCCGAAACTACCAATTTATTTCGAACTTCAAATTTTGCTTTATATTTTTCTATTTATTCTTTTTTTGTCAAATAAAGTTCCCTTGCTTCCTATTTCAAAATTTAATTTACATTACTTGTAAACGGAATCTATCCATATCTAGCTAATTCCAAATTTTTACTGTCTAAATTTTTATTTGAAATGGTTTCTATAATTTCCTATACATATTTGAGTTTCTATTCAAGAGTTTTGTATTATTATGAAAATCTATCCATGTACCTTAAACTGAGTAGTATATCGGCCTCCTCGGCTTTAAAAAACTCGAATACATGATCGTCAGTTTTTAGACCTCTTGGAGCATTTTAGATTAGTTTTTCGGTATATGGACCTACTTTTGGGATTTCTAAAGGAAATAAGTTTTTTTGTTGATTTTCTATATTATTATGAATATTATTTATTTTTTAATAATGAGAATAGTTATAAACATGGGGAAATGCGTAGTTATATTAGGACATTATTTTGTTTAAAACTAAGGATTAACTTAACTCAGAGTTTAATTTTTTTGTGAATTCGCCTAATTCTTGGAATTTAATTTAATTTCCGGGAATGTATTATTGGAAAATAGTATTTTCTTCATTTTTTAAGTCCACAATTGATATCTTCTAATCTTTTTCAGGGTTATATTTCTGTTATGGTTTCTAGTTGATGTTTTTTAAGGATTCTAACAAAATTTAACGCTCATCTTTAAATTAATTGAATGTTCTGTATATGGAATCTATTTGATTATCTTCTATATTGTCTCGGTTTTCATAATATTATTTTATTTTTTATAAATTTTATTTGAAATTTTCTTCCTTTTAGTGCATTTGTAGGCGTTGATTATATAATTATTTTAAAATATTTGATTTTTCTTCGTTTTCCTAATGTAGTTTAATTGATTTTTCTAATAAACTTATGTCATCCTTAAAATAGGAGCCTAATTGATCATTTTATACAATTTAATGATATAACTATTTTAATTCTGATAGATTTTATTAATAATTAGACATTATTTTTTTATTTTTTTAAACAAACAAACAAAATATAATTTAATTAAGTATATATCTATATTGTATTTTCAAAACATATATATATTTTTAAATTTTTGTCATAAATCTGAAATTCTATCCGAGTTTTTCCATGTATAAAAATCTCTGAAAAATAACCTTCTAGTGATGACAAAGGTAACAGCAAACAAAAAATATGCAAAACTTAAATAAATCATAAGTACATTTTTTCTATTTCTTTATTTTTTTATATTTTAAAAAATTATTATAAAAATATTATAAAACCTTGATTCTATTTCTTTTAAGAAGAATTTAGACTTTTAAAGACTTGATGATCCATCTAATTATTAATTTATATTAAATTTTAATATATTACTCTATACCTTAATAAATATTATCTATTATTTAGAACTTCTCAGAAGTTCCTTTTACTAATTCATTAATATTTGCTAATTTATTCATTTCTTGTTCCATTAATTATGTTGTTTCTTTTAAATGTGAGTTTAGTTTCTTTAATGCATTTATTTGAAAATTGGGTTATTTTGAATTATCTTCGAAATTTTTATTCTATTAAAATTTTTTTTAATCTTATCTTCAAAATTTTTCTATTTAATTTTTTTACATATGAAATTAATTTTGCTTCTTTAAAAAGATTATCTTTTTCATCTTTTTCACCTTTATTTTAATTTTACTTAGTTATATTTAATAAAAATTTAATTTACTTTAAGATTATAACTTCATTATATATTACTTATATAATTTTATATTTTAGAAATTTTAAAAATTGAAAACAAAAATTAAAAAAATTGCAAAAAAAAAAAATTAAAATTAATCAAATTTTTAATCAATAAACACTGTAATTATAATTCAAATAATTAACAAAAAAGCTTAAAAATTTAGATTTTATTATTACGAATAAGCTAATTTATTTTATAATATATAAAAACAGTATAAGATTTGAATTAATTATAAAAATAATTTATATGAAAACCAATTGAGTATATAATATAAAATAAAAATATCAGGCTCCAAATAAACAAAAAAAATTATCTAAAAAGTATAAGATTCCTAAAATTGATAAATAGCAAGTAACTCTAATTATAGTTAATTTAATAATATTAATATTTTTCCTTATTTTTATGGTATAGGAGTCCATTTATTTTTGATTTTTTCATTTAATTTATTAATAGTTTAATTTAACAATCGAATTATATAAAAATGAGAAGTATTTATTTTTTTAAATAAAGTTAATTACTATAAATTATATTAAATTTTTATTTTTTTTCAAATTAGAAAATTCAATTGTTTTGTTAATGCTTTAATTTATAACAGGCATTATATATCATTTATTTATTTTATTATGATATGTGTTATGGATATTTTGAATTAATTATTTGAATAGAAATAATACATTTATCCATTCTAAAATCTAATATTAATAAAAAATATATTTATTCATATTATTGTATTTTGACAGTAAAAAAAAACAATTAAAATTCTTATAATTTAATATAAATAGTATAAAAAACACAGAATTTACTTATAATTATTTTAATATTAACTATTTAATTAATTATAAGTTAAGATAAAATATAATATAATAAATTAAGAAAGTAATAAAAATTATATTTGAAAATATTTATTTATAAATAAAAATCAAAGTTAATAGTTAATAACTTCAATATTAAACTAAATATGCAGAATTATATGAAAAGAATAATTTAATTTATACATAAATTATATAAGTAATAATAATAAGGATAATATATTTATTTTAAATTGTATATTACATTGAAAAATAATACTTATAGTATAATATAAATAAAAGTAAAGAGTATATTATATTAAATCGAAAAGTCAAGACAGTTCAAAATATTAATAATTTTTAGAATATAAAAGGCAAAAAAATAAAATAAAAGTAATTTAGTTTAATTAATAAATATAAAATTATTACTTTTATAAAATAAAATTATATATATATTAATAGCATAGATTAAATTTCATATATATAAAGAAGTAAAATATTAGAATCTTCATCTTGATAAAATAATTGCAATTGAAATCGATATATTAAATTTATTTGTGTATTACTACTATACCAAATGATAATTTTGATTAAGTTTTTAAAAGATTTAATTAAAACTAGAAAAATGTAATTTTTAATTATAGATTACATAAAAGTTTATAAATAAAAAATTTAAATAATTAAATAAAGCCGTCAAATTAATAAATAAAAACTAAAAGATATATATAATTTATTTAGGTTTAATATAATAAAGGAAATTTAAATAATTTTAATAAATATATAATTGAATAAATAAATTTATTTGAAAAAGTTTAACAAAAATATTTTTCAAATAAAATTTATTTATTTTTTATTTAAAAAAAAAAATGAAAATAATTTATTATATTTATAAACAAAATAATTATTTTGATAGAATAGTTTAGTTTAGTTTAAATATTAAAAAATATACGGTTAATTTTCTATTTTTAAAAACTTTTGATTAAATATTTTATATATGCTATTATTAATAAGTTATTATAATAATCAATATTTTGTAAATAAGATAAATTAATATTTTTATAAATAAAAAAATATAATAATATTAATTCATTTTAAAAAATCTAGATATTTTTAATGTTTTGTGGTTAAATCTTTTAAATTAGAGCAAGTAATTGCCAAATCCCTTAATCTTCCATCATTAACTCCGTAAATCCATCCATGAATATTAACAACTTATCCTCTATCCCAAGCTCCTTATATTATAGTACTATTTCCTAAGTTATAGACTTATTCAATAACATTAATTTCACACATAATATTAACAATTTTATCTTATGGATGTTTTTAAAGATAAACTTAATGTTTTAAATAGAGGTCTCTAATATGTAAAAGCCAATTATTAATTAAGCCTAATTTCGGATTTGCTATAGAAGCTGCAACACCTCCACATTCATAATGTCCACAAACAATAATATCTTTAATATTTAGCACATCAACAGCATATTAAATTACACTAAGGCAATTTAAATCTGTGTGAATTACTTAATTAGCTACATTCCTGTGAACAAAAAGTTCTCCAGGGATCATTCCGGTAAGCCTTTCGGCTGCTACACGACTATCTGAACAACCTATCCATAAAAATTTTGGGCTTTAGGTTTTAGCTAGTTTTTCGAAAAATAAAGGATCCTCATTTTTTATCTTTTCTGACCATTAGATATTGTTTTTTAGAAGGCTTTACATATCATTTTTTCTTAAGTGTTAGAAGTTATTTTTTAATAAACTATTTTCCTTTAAGAGAATTTTCATATATTAATTGTGCGAAAATAGCGTTTTTTTATTTATTTTTTTGTATTCTTTTTTTAAAAAACTCTATTAAAAAAAAAAGGTGAGAAAAATTAATAATAGTTTTTTTTATTTTTTGATATAGATTTTTTTAAAGAAAAATAAAATAAATAATTTGTTCAAATAATATATGTTTTTTTTAATTTATACAGTATAATTTTTTATAAAAGTAAAATAGGAAAATATATTAATATTTTCCTACTTCGAAAATTCTATATCTTTAAATAATTTGTAAAAGAATAAATTCTCATTTTAAAATCAATAAATATATTATTTATTAATAAAGTTAAAAATTAAAATGAAAAAAAATATGTTACTTAAATTTTACTTTTTCATAATTATTTATATAAAATTCTTATATTAATAATTCATTATTTTTTGTAAAATTTTAAATGTGTTCTTATCTCATTCATCTAATATCTTTTTTTTCTTTTTTTTCAAAAATATCACAACTTGCTGGATTCGTAGTTAATAATCCTTTATTTCAATTTAATATTTACATAAATACATAATTAAAAAAAGTATATTAGTACATTTAATAACTATTTTTAAATTTAAAATTTGTAAAATTAAATAAATCATTACACTTATAATTGAAATATAAATTCTAAAAGTTATAACATATTATATGAAATTTCATCACTAAACAATATTTTTAATGCTTTCACCATTAATTAGCTTCTACTATTCTATTTTATGTCATAATAGAGGAAAAAAATAGTACTTTTTTAAAACAAAATAAAGTGATAAGATTGCAAATATTTACTATAACTATCCCTAAAGGAATTATTGGACTATAGAATATGCAAACAAATATATTTTTATTAAGTATGCATAATCTTATGAAAGATTTTTATTTCATTTTTCGTACATTTAATTTATCTAAGCTTATGTATAAGACTTTTTGATTTTTGATTTATAAATATATCTCGTTATTTTTTGTATTAAGCAAACAGGTCTATTATTAAAGTAGCTATTTAAATTAAAATAATTATAATAAAGATATATTATTAATCTTTTAATCAACAATTAAACCAGGTTAAATTAATAAATAAATAAATATTACTTATTTCTAATGTTTTTATTTTCCTGTAATTTTATAAA